AACGTGAAAAACCAGAAGGCTCGAGAGATGAACTAATCAATTCTCTTTCCGGCTCAGACTGCATTGGTTTAAGCTCATGGGGCTGTCACGTGATGAACGAACGACTCAAACCCGAAGACTCGAGAGATGAACTAATCAATTCTCTTACCGGCTCAGAACTGCATAGGTTAAGCTTACGGGTCTGTCACGTGATGAACGAACGACTCGAAAAACCCGAAGACTCGAGAGATGAACTAATCAATTCTCTTTCCGGCTCAGACTGCATTGGTTAAGCTTATGGGTCTGTCACGTGATGAACGAACGACTCGAAAAACCCGAAGACTCGAGAGATGAACTAATCAATTCTCTTTCCGGCTCAGACTGCATTGGTTAAGCTTATGGGTCTGTCACGTGATGAACGAACGACTCGAAAAACCCGAAGACTCGAGAGATGAACTAATCAATTCTCTTTCCGGCTCAGACTGCATTGGTTAAGCTTATGGGTCTGTCACGTGATGAACGAACGACTCGAAAAACCCGAAGACTCGAGAGATGAACTAATCAATTCTCTTTCCGGCTCAGACTGCATTGGTTAAGCTTATGGGTCTGTCACGTGATGAACGAACGACTCGAAAAACCCGAAGACTCGAGAGATGAACTAATCAATTCTCTTTCCGGCTCAGACTGCATTGGTTAAGCTTATGGGTCTGTCACGTGATGAACGAACGACTCGAAAAACCCGAAGACTCGAGAGATGAACTAATCAATTCTCTTTCCGGCTCAGACTGCATTGGTTAAGCTTATGGGTCTGTCACGTGATGAACGAACGACTCGAAAAACCCGAAGACTCGAGAGATGAACCAATCAATTGTCTTTCCGGCTCAGAACTGCATAGGTTAAGCTTACGGGTCTATCACGTGATGAACGAACGACTCGAAAAACCCGAAGACTCGAAACAGGTGAACTACTTGACTAATTCCAGTACAGAACCTATAGGATGTTGCGCATGCGCGACTGAACGAATCACTCCCCAAGACAACTCGTTCCTCTGAGTCACATTAAAGATTCATTCAAGAACGACCCATCACTAATAAACATATAGATTGATAAACATATGTTTGATAGTAAACGGACCGCTGGCTGAACGTCTGATGTGTAAGGCACACAAAATGGAAACCATTTCGCAGTTTTCAAAGTCATCATCCGATTGGTTGAATTCTACAGGATTTCTGGGAGAAGTGTGTGTGTGTTTGTCACATTCTGGTAACAGTCCACCAGAAAACAAATCTGTTGTGACACCAAACCTGCTCATGGCAGAAGAAAGCTGTTGTGTTCACAACTGTGACAATGATCACTTATCAGGATCAACTAAATGCTGGGTTCTCAAAAGTATGTGAAGTTTACAGCATAGAATCTGCACCATTGTTGCAGTAAACTTGCATGACGTTCTTGAATGAATGACTGGTTTTGAATGATGATATTGGCACGTGGTCTGTTCATGTAGGGACATCAACTTTACATTTTCACACCCTTAAACATGGTGCTGAACAAAACTAACTGCGTCAGATGGCTTCTTGGCCAGCCCTTGGCCAATGAAAGTGGCAATGGAGTCCAGACCTTCTACTATCAGTTTGAATAACATGAATTTAATCTAGTATATAAGAAGTAGCTAGATTTAAACTATCCAATGTCTGTATTTCACCATTCTCCATAATTCAGAGGTGCTTGACCTATATTTCAAATTATATGTTAGTGACTATTTGTGTTATGTTAGTGTTTGGAAAACTGAGATTTACCATAAAATTCAAACAGTAAAGATTACACTTCAGAATTCCAGAATTGTTAAGAGCTAAATATTAATCAAAGGAAGGTTAACCACATTTTTACCAAATAAAATTATATTACTTTTTCCCGTCATTTGTGAATAACTGGACTAGGATTAAGGATAAGGATTTGGTGACAAACAAACAAACAAATAATCTTGTATTCTGTTTTTTTTTTTCAGTTTGTGTTTGAGAAACTGAGATTTACCTTAAAATTCAAGCAGTAAAGACTGATATCCTTGTCTTGGATGCGGACTGCATCTCTGATCAACGCTGCTAGAAAGCCTCTGGGATTGAGAAAGGCAGCCAGTCGATAAACACAAGGTTTAATACTGGATGACTCCTCCCACAGGTATGACCTGAGCTGCTCTGCTTGAGTCTCCAGCCGTGAGAGAGCTGATGATGTTAGATACGCAGTAGTGGAGCTTGTCATGTTATATTTAACTGGCTGAAAACTGTCTAAAAGGAGGGAAGACACCAGTGCATCCAGACGCTCCCGCTCTGTCTGGAAGAAACAACGCAATGGACCAAGAGAAGCAGATTCCATTCCCATGCCGATGTCCATTTTCCTCAACATGTCTTGTAAAGTTAGCAGCCTTTCCCAAGCTGTCCTATAGTCCGGAAGTTCTTGAGGTTGCATTAAAAGACTGTTGTCTCCTCTGACATCAACATAGATATTCTGTGATTGATGCAGTAGAATGCTGAGTCTATGACTTTTTAGCTTCACCAGTTCACTTGCCATACCTGGACTAAAGCCCAGAATGAATGGGTCTGTACTGCTAGTAATGCATTGAATACAATGTCTCAGGTCTTTCAACAGGCCACCAGCTTCTGCAAAAATATGAGTGTGTAACAATTAATTTAAGCATTTAAGTTAAAATGAGATGTTTAAAAATACTATATAGCAGTGGTTCACAGCATTTTTGACCCCAAGGCCCACCAGTACCCCATGCAGACTAACATGTAACAGGTACCTCTGGTACATCTGCTGTAATAACAAAGTTTTTTTTCAAGAAAACAGGAGCATCCATAGATAATAAAAAAAAGTAATTATAATAAAAGAATTATAATTTAAAATAATTATATGCCAGAAATTCCACTTTTTCTAACCAGTGGAATTATATTACTTTTCCAGTCATTTGTGATTAACTAGACCTGGATGAAGGATAAGGATTTTTATTTATTTATTTAATTTCCACCCAACAAAATATGTTAGAGCTTACCATAACTAGAAAAAAATGATATTTTTAATAAAATTACCACAGCTGTTTCAGTGTTATTGTAGTAACACTAAGATATTATAGTTTTTGTTAATATTTTGAATTATACATATTTTTATATTTTCTGCTTTCATGTTAATTTTTAAGTTTTAGTAATTTTGTTGTGTTTTCTGTCATTTTTATTAGTTTTTGTTGTTTTTAAACAGGTCTATATAATATTTTTATTTCAGTTTTCATTTTAGTTATTTTAGTACATCAAGTTAAACTAAATGAAATAAGAAATGTTGTCTTGTTAACTTGCTGAAATAAGATCAGCTTTTTATATTTTAATTTTCATTTCAGTTAACATTTATTTTATTTCAAGTAATGAAAATGTTTTTTTTCTAATAGTTTTAGTTTACTATAATTACCATGGGCTAGGTACCAAGGTCTAGAAATAACAAATCCAGGTTTTCTAATATTGTGGGCATACCAGAGCGAATTGCAGAGGTTATGAAGAACAAGGGTCAACACAGTAAATACTGACTCATATTTTTTTGCCAATAAAAGCCTTTACAACTTATGATATGCTTAGCATTGTTTTTCAGTATACCATAGAAATGTGGAAAAATAGTCTACAAATACTGAAGCAGCAAACTTTGCAAAACACAAAATTTATGTCGCTGCCAAAAATTTTGGCCATGACTGTACACACACACACACACACACACACACACGCACACACACAGTGGGTATAGAAAAGAATCAAACCCCTTTAAAATAATCACATTTTGTTGCTTTGCAGCCTGAAATGAAGACTGTGTGCTTTGGGTCATTGTCATGTTGGAAGGTAAACCTTCTTCACTTTCTGGCAGAGGGCGGCAGATTTTCCTCAAGAATTTGACGGTATTTTGCCCCATCCATTTTCCCTTCCATCCTGACAAGTGCTCCCTGCTGCAGAGAAACACCCCCATAACAGGATATTACCTCTCCTGACTTGTTCCTGTCCACGAGATCTTTTGACAGCGCTTTGCCACCCATAGTTGATTGTTTGCTTCAGTTGCACTACCAAGGACTGAAATGCTGCAGGAAAGCTCTTTTCATGCTGAGCTGATCAAAATGACCACAGCTGATCACAGTTGAAAGGTCAAATGGTTTTGTGTGCCATTGAGAAGCTGATTAGCTAGACCTGATTGAGTTTACAAGTTATTTTAGGAGGGGGTGATCCTTTTTCCAACTCAGTAGCTGCGTTTACATGGACCCTAATAATCCGATCGTAATAGGACTAGAAGCACAATCAGAAAACAGTCACATGTAACCAAGTCAATCAGATTGAATTGGCCAGATCTGATTAAAATTTCGATCGGATTGTAAGGGGTGGTTTATTCCTTTTGTAATCTGAGTGAGAGGACATGTAAACACTTGATCGCATTGAAAACCGAAACTGGAAAGTACTGCGCATGTGCAGTGAAGTAAAAATAGCATAATGACGTATGACACGCAGAACGAGCTGTTCTTCCTGGTGAATTAAGTGTCATAAATGAGTGTCCCGTCATTCTAAAATTCTGCTTTCACTCAGCGTCTGTGAAGTGGAGCAGAACAACATCCACCAGTCCTTGTTTAAGACTCTCATCAACAGACGACTGGTTTTGGGTGCGGTAAGGGGCACTTTATAAAGCAGTAAAAGTAAGCAGCACAGCACAACAGTTCATGTGCTGGTCGTCGCCTAATTAGGACCCGAAGTAGATAAATATTAAGTGTGCTTTTTAAAACAGCATGCGACATATTCATGCAGTGTGCGCATGTCAAAAGATTAAATCTGATCAGAAGCTTGTGACATATAAATGTGCATATCAACCCGATCACTTTATTTAGCGCTCATGTAAACACTACGTTCGGATTCGTCAATCAGAATGAATTCATTCCGATGGAAGCAAAAAGTGTCCATGTAAACGTAGCTAGTGATTCTGTTTTTTTATATATGTTTATTTTTTTCTGACGCGTTGGTGTTATATCTTTCACTTGGATGCTATAAGCTGCACTGAGTAAATACAGCTGAATAAAACAAAAAACTGTGTCCATCTTTATTTCAGGCTGCGAAGCAACAAAAATTTGATTATTTTAAAGGGGGGTGATTCTTTTCTACACCCACTGTATATATATATATATATATATAAAATAAACTTTACTATTATATAATTATAGTTTATCATGGAAATTTAAGTGATAGAGTGTGTTTGCATACCAAATCTTCCTGTAAAGTTAAGGATATTTGAGAGAATGTCTTTGCCACGCCCCCATAATGTTGACGGATCTCTTAGACATGCCCTAATCACACTCTGCACAGCTGCTAGATCTTCATGGTCTGACACGTGGCTCCCATAAACCAGGCGACCTGTTGAGAGAGCAGATCAACCAACATCATCAAGTTCATACTGAACCGGAGAGATGCATTTAAAGCATTTCATGTCCCAGCTGCACCTGCTATGTACTCCAATGCTCCGGTAGGGTCACTACAGTGTTTGGTTATGCGGTGATGTGCATCAATCAGAGCAAGTAGATCTTCCTGAGTCCTATAAATGGAAAAAAGTTTGAGTTACTTTTATAACTTTTGCGCCCCAATATCTGTTTAAAATCCTCACCAAAGGTAAAGCTGCGCTTGGCCCAGGTGTTTGAATGTTTGTCTCTGCTGCAGGACAGAGTGCAGGACAGCACACCGAGTGTTCACAGTGTCTTCATGAGAGGAGAAGGGGAGTGTCTGTTTTACTGAAGACCACAATTCATCCTTCAGGTCCCAGGAGGAATCACACACCAAGTGCAGGGCTCTAATCCTAACAGCAACTGTATCAGATGATAGATTATACACATTAGACAGCATTTGTATGCTGCAGACAGAAATCAACTGATTTACTTTCTCTTAAAAGGAACACTTGTTTTTTTTTTTTAATTTAGACCTGCTCTTGTCACATATAACATATAACATGCAAAAGTATGGGGGCGGTAAAAGTTGAAGTCTTGAATGAAGTCTCTTTTGCACATCAAGGCCGCATTTATTTGATCAAAAATGCAATAAAAACTTTAATATTGTGAAATATTTTTTACAACTTAAAGTAACAGTTTTCTATTTGCAAAATGATAGATGCAAAGCTGAATTTCACAAACATGTCACATGATCCTTCAGAAATCATTATGGTAATTTGTGGCTCAAGCAATATTTCTTATTATCAGCAATAATAATTATTCTTATTATTCAATTTTTTCAGGATATTTTGATAAATAGAAAGTGAAAAAAAAGCATTTATTTGAAATAGAAATCTTTTGTAACATTATAAATGTCTTTACTGTCCCATATGATAAATTTAATACATCCTTGCTGAAAGTATTCATTTATCAAAAAAACAAAAAAACTTCTGTACAGTAGTGTAAAGTCAATTATATCACAGTGATTTCAGCTATCATTTACAGTCTGGCAATTTATTCTCCTATAGTTTTTCCAAAAAGACAAACCCCAGGAAACTAAAGTGAGGTCAATACAGGTAAAATTAAATTTAGTCAGTTTTGGGGTTTTAATATATTGAGATATGGCATTAAATAACTGTTAGCTATTAAAAAGATCTTAGAAAGGCTACATTACCCACAACAACAGCCTAAACAGTGCCTATACAAATATTTGGCTATTGGAGAAATATTACGAAAACAAATTATATTATTTTTATATATTTTTAAAATAACTTTCACTCACAAATTATTCCCAATAAGACTAGATTGCATTAAAGGGGTCATACGATGTTGCTAAAAAGAACATTATTTTGTGTATTTGGTGTAATGAAATGTGTTTATGCGGTTTAAGGTTAAAAAAACACATTATTTTCCACATACTGTACATTATTGTTTCTCCTCTATGCCCCGCCTTTCTGAAACGCGTCGATTTTTACAAAACTCATCGGTCTGAAAAAGCGAGGTGAGCTGTGATTGGCCAGCTAT